TGGACACCCCCACACATTGTGTCCAGTCCCCACGTGCATGGTCCACCCCATACCACGTGTCCAGCCCCCCATGCATAGACCCCCATTGTGTCCAGGCCCACGTGACTGGGGGACTCACCCGCTGCTCCGGGGGCACCTCAAAGTACCCCCCGCCGCGGAGCCGCCGAAGCCTCAGCACCTCCCCCTGCGCCTCGGCGGAGGACCCCTCCGCCATGGCGCTGCGCCGCGCCGCCGCGCATGCGCCCGAGCAGGCCCCGCCGCGCAAGCGCCCTGAGGCTTCGCGGGCGCCATCTTGGAGTCCCTAGCAACCGTCGCTATGTAGGGCCTAGTGTAGCAGGGGGAGCCTCCCCGGAGGGGAGGGGAGGGGCAGGGCCAGAAGGCTGCATGCAGCCCAGATGTGCAGCAGCCACACAGCTGTGGGCCCAGGCTGGAGCAAGGGCGGGGGGATTTCCTGCCACAAGCCCACAGGGGTGGGGAGCAATGGCTGGTAGCTCCCAACAGGGTGCAAGTCCCACCTCAGCACCCTGTGCCAGGCAGAAAGGCACCATTTGTTCCTCCCAGACTGGCAAGAGTTTATCCCCTTCTTCCTCCAGAAGTGGCCAGTTTGGGGATGCAGGGCTCACACGGAAGATGTTCCCGGGTGCACGAAATGCACAATGCAAGAGCCATCAAGCTGTATGGGCAGACGTGGGGGTGTGCAAGGGCATGTGTGCAAGCAGTAGCTCAGGGGCCAGGAAGGAAGCTGCACCCCAGCCTGCACAACCATGGTAGGGTGACCCCGAGTGAGAGGCCAAGAGAGAGATCTTCTAGGGAAGCAAAGAGAAAGTCATTAGGATCTCCCTCTCACCAGGCAAGAACGAGACCTCGCAACAAGAAATGAGTCAGTAGCAAGCTTAAAACGTGTGATGCAGGACGCCGCGCCAAGTGACCCCCTCAAAGGCGATGCTTATGTTCTCACGAGCCGGGGAAAAGAGGCCAGGAGCTGAGTGAGAACACAGGCTCAGGGTGTTTGACTTCTCCTGCGTTCACGGAGGATGCAGGGCGATGCGCGTTCTCGCAATTAAAACTGCATCAAAAGTGCTCGTGTCCATCATCTCCTCCTCAGGGGAACAGGCTGCAGGGCTATCAATTTTGGCCCAGCTGCATAGTTCAAAAAAGGGTAATAGCACAGGTCGTAATGAAAGTAGCCAGCTTATTTGGCACAACATATGGCACTCGGGTGGCCGTCACAGAGGACATTCCAGTTTTCTGCTACTCTGCCCTCTATTGATACGAAACTGGATGCCTTTATGTCCTCTATTCTTCTCTTCAAAGACAAGAATAGAGGACATAAAGGCGTCCGGTTTTGTATCAAGAGAGGACAACCAGACTGTCCTCTATGGCAGCCACCCTATATGGCATAGATATCCCACAAAATGGCCATGTCATCCATACTGTGGCATTGACTGGTTGCCACTCCCCGGGGTTTTGTTCAGCAAAGTTTGTTGCAAGGCGGTGTGAGTAATAAGCAGTGCAGCGAAACCAGCTGGACCCGTTAATGGACTCGTTAATGGCGGGTCCCGTCTAGTGGCTGGATCCATTGCAGCTGGCAGTGTTTGACAGCTCTCCGCTGGGGAGCGGGACGATGACAGGCGTTTCAGTATCGCTGAAATGGACTGAAGCCAGGGAGTGGTGTGGAGGGATTAGAAATCAGGTAGGCGTTTCATCCAAGCTATCAGGATGGATTTTGCAGGTAAAGACAGCTGGCAGGTAACAAGTCTCTTAGGCCCGGTGAAAGCTGCAAGCAGCATCGGGCTCAGCTGCATTATTTCACGGGCATGCCTCTGGATGGTGCTAATTAGCAAGACAGAACTGTCACAATTACAGAGTCGGAAGTAAAATGAAAACACCAAGAGGAGCAAAATGTCTGCAGCAGAACAGCCTGGAAAAAAATCTCAAGGCACCTTGACGTGATGTTCAAATCCTTTACACATGAAGCACATAACATTGATAGCTGTGGGGGGGCAAGAGATAAGGGTTCCCTTGCTGGACCTGCCAGTTTTCCTGACTAATCTGGGGGCGGGCATCACTTACCCACTCTGTGCCTCAGTTTCCTCACTGTAAAATGGGGATAATGGTACCAAGTCATCTTCCAGCAGCACTGCGAGTCTTCAGATCATGCTCATAATCCATGTGGAGAGCCTCGAATGGAAGTTGCTATATAAAGCATGAATTTATCTCACGAGCAAACGACTGACCAGCAGGACTGAGTTAATATTAGTAAAGCCACTGGGATGGATTTGCAAAGGTCTGCTCAATGAAGACAAATTATTCTCCTTGACAAACCAGGGAATGATGGTTAGCTCTGTCCCTGTCATTGGCTTGCTGGAGGTGTATAAGCAGATTTTGTGCATCTGCAGTTCTCCCGTGTAATTGCCTGGCTTGACTAAGCCGACTGCCAGGCATGGAGAAGTCTGAACAGGGCTTAACAGATCCTGGTGGGGAAAGAGGAGTTTATCAAACCACCTTTGATGGAAAACCCTCTTTCAGTGCTAGTCCTTCTTTGGCAAATAGCTTCTTAAACCTAAAAGGAGTGACATTTTATGTAACAGAAGCAGCTCATCTGATTTTTACAAATGCAGCATTCACAATGAAAGATTCTCTTATTGATCTCACACTTGATTCTGGTGTCAGGTTCAGAGATTCTGGCTGTTTTGTTACCTCTGTTTCTGTGACCAGCTCCTAACATGGCTGATAAAATGCCATCAGTTGTCGCAGGTGTAACACAGGCTCCCAGCCCTGGAACATCAGGGAAGGAGGAGCTGGCTCATCTGTGGTCTGAAAATTTGAGGGTCCCCAAAACCATGGGTTGAAACCTAAGTGAAACCCTTTCAGCCTTTCACCCTGGTGTGGTCTGGGAGGTAAACTGAATTGCGAGCAGGATACTGTGTGCCACCCTCTAAAAGGCTGCTAAGGACCCCTGAAGGTCCTTTACACAGGTGCTTCTGCTTTTGAAGTGCTGGATACGGGAACCTTTGGGGTACCACGATTGCGGACATGCGTCCGCTCACACATCTAATCTTTTATTGACTTGGAATCTTAAATGGTTGACTAAATACATTTATTTTTTAGCAAGCTTCTCCATTCCCATTCTCCTCTTCCTTCTCCAGATGTCGCAGGGAGCTAGGGAAAGTGAGACCATGAACGAAGTTGTTGTTACAGACCCCTGTTTATTAGTTGAGGAGCTCAACTAATGGCATTTGTTGCATCCTTGTGTCTTTGTGTTGTCAGGAGGAGAGAACAACAGGACGCTCCAGAATCAGAACTCACGGCATTTCTCTCTTGACTTGGTAAGCCTCTATGGTGCTGGGTTTTGTGTGTACATTATATGGACCATAGTACTCTGTATCTCTGATGGTTTTGGACTCTGGGAGGTTATCCACATCAGTATAGCTCTCCTCCTCATCCAAGGGCCTGGTGACAATGATTTTCGGTATAATATACCTTTTCTTCTTGACTAGTTTCTCCACTGGAAAAGGATAAAGGACAATGACCCCAGGCGTTATGAAAGGGGATGAATTCTCTCCTGCAAGCTGCTAACAGAGGGGAAGCGTGCATGGCCATATACAAGGAGGTGCATTGGGATTTTATAGGATGCGTGTACCAATCATGCTATTGAGCTAGGCTAACATAGGAGCTTAAGCAACATTTCCTACAGCACAGGACAGGGCTGGGAGAAGGGCTCTGCTCAGAGGGGCTTTTACTGAACATGGAAACCTTGCAGAGAGGAGCCATGGGCTCAAGCGCACTTCCAAAGAGGGAGGTACAGGTGTCAGGGGAGCCCCGAGCTGTGACTTTGGTGGGTTCCCTGCTCCATGTGTTTCTCAGGTGGGTTTGGAACAGCTGGCCAAAGACCTTTTGTACCCAGCTAATATCAAAATGGGGACAGAGCATTGTCATTGGGCATCTCAGCCCCTTTGACAACAACGGGGGCCTATAACATTGTGGTCCCTTTAAAATGACATCTTAAAAATCAGGATCAGTCCAGAGCAGTTTAGGCTTCATCTGATCTGCTTCAACGCTCTTATACTGCAGGGAGGGCTGCTCAGGGGACACTGAACAGCTGTACACATCCTTGCAGTGACTGCTCACACCAGCCTCACCTCTCATCCCCTACCTTTCTTTCGAGGCCTGTCTTCCGCCCCTGAGCTCTTCTGCTGCTGCTTCTTGGCTGATTTACCACTGGGAGCTTGGACATGGTTTGTGTGGGCCTGTGGTGATGTTTGGATGTGCTGGCTGTGCTTCTGGAGATCCGTCTTTCTCTGCTCCCAGGTTTGGCTGACCGTGGGCAGCTGGGCATCAGCTGCAGGAATTTGGGATGCAAAGAAAAGACAGGGAAGGTGAAAAGGTGATTTAGTGTCATGGAGCCACAACAGCCTCTCACCATGCTGAGTCCTCTCCTGCCTGCATTTGCATGTGATCACATCAGAAAGTCTCTTGGATTTGGGAATATTCATTGGCAGCAATTCTACCATTTCCATCTAGCAGTGTATCGATCCCCTTGTTAGGATTCCTTCCATTCCAGACCTACCTTAAAAAACCTCCTCATTGTTCTTCCTTCTGCTGGCTGCGCTTCTTCTCATTTCTTTATCAATCCCCTACCAGCGCTACCTTCTAATCTGTATTCACCTAATACAGATTAGGTACCTAATCGTCCCTTTCCCCTATGCGCTTATTTATAGATACCGATTATTTTCCAAGCTACTTTCACTTACCCTCTAAATCCCATCTTTCCTTTTTAGGCTGCCTTTCTTAGCATGGCCTATCAGACATCTGATAAAACTGTCTTGCCCAGTTCCCAGTAACCAGGTGCACATTGCCATTTGAATTATCCCAGCTGGTCTGGTTCATAATTTTCTTTTCAGCTCTGTGAAAGTGCCTGTGCACTTTGTGTGTGTCTGTGCAACTCTTTTGGTCTTTACTGTGTTTTCACATAGCAAAAAAATCCCTGCAGTGACCACTCACTACCAGTGCTGCGACTGGTTCCTCTGTCTGTCTAGAGGAGACTTACTATCAAAGTGCCTCCTGTTGGTGCAACATTTGCAAAAAATGCACCAGGAAAACACAATTTGGGTGGAAAACTCGACCCTCCCGACCACATTATAGTCACCAATGAGGGTGCACAGCACAGTCTTCACAAACAGCCCTAAAATAAAGCAAGGCACATGAAAACGGAAGAGGATGTGAGATTGCCAGAGAGCCCTTATCACTGAGTCAATATTCTTGCTTTGCTGTAGCAAGAAGAGGTACAAGATCCTCATTTGGGCTTTTATCTTCTGCACCAGGGCTGTGTCTCAGAGTAGGGAAGTGGTCCTCTTTCAGGCAAAGTGCACTGGGATATAAGTGACAAGCGATCTGTATGAGCTTTGCTTCCCTACAATATAATTCACTTGCCAGATATAATCAAGAGATTTGATAAGACTTTAAACTAGAAGTATAAGATGGGGAGATTTGAATGCTGAAAATCATATCTGTGGTTCGCTACATCTGTGCTGCGGTGCCCTGGTTGAGAATCACTGAACTACTACAATCACCGGTGTTGCACTAGGCAGCAAACTGGAAGCTCTTCATATGAAGAGCAGAGTCACAGTGAGCCCTGGGAAGGACAGAGCTTTGAGGTGTGCCTTTGACCACTCTGATGCTCTTTGAGACCTCTCACCCCCTGGTCCCATTGCATTTGCCCTTCTTCCCTTCATACAAGCAATAGTGGTGATGACAAGGAATGAAGGTAACTGCTGCCCAGGCATAGCATATTCCAGGAGAAGGACAAGCCCAGGACAAGATGCTGAGAAGTGGCCAGCAGCCCGTGTGAGAAAGAACCACCACTCCACCTGCCCCACCTGCATGCTAGCACCAGCTAGCCAGGGTCCCTGAAACCTTGGCATCCATCTCCCTATGCCACGCATCTCCAGGTGTATTTTGAACCCCCCAACCCAAGGCCCAGTGTACGCAGCACAGATGAGGGAGACACTGGATTGTTATCAGGCATCTTGGCCCCTTTGATCAGGCTGTAAAATGAAACTGCTGCTGAGCAGTTTAGGCCTAAAAATCAGGCCAGCTGTGGCAGCCCAGTGAGGATTACCAAGCCGGGGGTGCACAGCAGGCAAGGGCTAAATGCAGCAACACGGTGGCCAGCTCAGCTCTGCTTTTTCCAGCCCTGCCACACGCCCCTTACCTTCTCCCTGAGGAGTCTCTGCACACCCCCAAGTCTCCTGCCACTGCTGCTTTGCTGATGTACTTGCAGCTGCTTGAACAAGATAGCCATGGGCTTTTGAAGGGCTTTGCATGTGCTGGCTGTGCTCCTGCCAATTGGCTTCTCTGAGCTCCTGGCTCCGGTTCCCGTCAGCTGTAGGAATTTAGGATGCAAAGAAAAGAGAAGGAAGGTGAAAAGGAAGCTATGTTAGCTGGTTAGTTCTGCATCATGGAATTACAGCTGCCCTCGCTACACTGAGTCCTCTCCTACTTATATCTGCACAGCTTGCGCTCAAGGCAACTCTTGGAGCTGGGAATTTTTAAAGCCCCTCATCTCCATCGGTTTGGCCTTCCCACAGCAAATGTACCCAGGAAAAGCCAGGCACTGCCATAGCTATTGTATAACTGACCTCACTGGCTGCTTGCACCATGTCTGTGAGATCACCGGTCTCCCTGAAGAGTGAGTTTGACTGTATTCAAGTTCCTTTCCAAAGCTAGTGCCTCAGCCCCCACCACCTGTGCCAGTAGCCTTCACAACTGATCTACAATTTCAAATCTGAGCATATCCCAGCCTTCATGAGCAACTTTATAAGAAAAATTATTTATTTATTTTTTGATTTGTATCCACGGCCGAATTAGCCAAAACTAATTCCAAATCCAAGTGTCCAGAACCATAAGTGTCCCTACTACCAGCAAACATCCTCCACCTGCACCTAGGTCTTCAGATGTTTCCAAAACCTTTGGTGGGCATCCTACTTGCAAGCCCAAGCCTGGAGGCTTGGGATTTGGATGCCCCCGAGTTTTGCAAGCAGAAAAAGGAAGGGGAGTTAGACACAAGCTGAGAAAGGAAAGGGGCTGCTGCCTGTATCTTGGATGCTTGGCAGACAGAGAGAGCTGCTTCAGTATTTGGGGTACCCCTGGAGCTTGTACCCTGGGTGGTCAGGCAGCCCCCAATGAGACCAGCACTGCTGATGGGTGGAGGGAGACTCAAGGGGGCAGATGTCCCCGCTCTTCTAGTCCAGCACTTGTTGCTCACTTGCTCCAGCTCTCCAATTCCCCAAATACAAGCTCCAGACATCATCCTTCTCGTACCACAAACCTCCCAATGCCGTATTCTTCAAGGGAGCCATCAGGCCAGGCTTAGATTGACCTGATGATGTTTGTGGTAGGTATCAGCCAGGGACACATGAAAGGCAGACTGCGGAGGAAGGACCTAGACACTACTGTTCCTTCTCAGATTCTCACTGTGGGTACCAGGGGCTTTCTACATTATCTGTGCAGGAGGTTTATGGGATCAGACAAGCCTCAGTCAAGCTTCTCCTCTGATCCGTCGTGTTACTTTATGCCTCTACAGCAGCATTTCTCAACCCATGAGTCACAACAGGTCACAAGAACATATGAAAGGGTTGGGAACAAATTTTAAACATGGATTCTCTTTTAAAGGAGAAAAATGTGGGAAACTGGCTTTTCCCTTGCTGCAAGGGGCTGCTTGGGGCCTCCTTCCCCACATCTGCTCTGCCCCACACACTGCAGGGCTGGAGGCAGTGGGTTGGGAGTGAGGGCACTGGGTCGGGACTAGCCATCGATGTCTATAAATGGGTCCTGGTACAAAAAAAGGTAAGAACCACTGTTGTACAGTGCCTCACGTTGGCAAGTCTCCCAGCAGGAAAGGAGCACAGCTGGCAAGCCCAGGGGCATACAGTACCCTTTTAATCCAGGAGGAATGAAGTGACATGGTCTCCCCTGAGGTCAAGTAATGTATGAGTTGGTTCTCCCACCCCGCTGCCCCCAGTGTGTGGGGCAGAGAGTGGGTGTGTGTGGGGGTGTAAAACCCCAAGCAGCCCCTTGCAAGCTGCAAGGGAAAAGCCAAGGTTTCCTACATTTTTCTCCTTTAAAGGACAACCCATTTTGAAAGTTAGTTTGCAGCCCTTCTTGTCAGAGCTGGGATGAGAACCAAGGAGTCGTGCACGTGCACATCTCTCTCCAGCGGCTCCTGCTCCCTCCCAAAGCAGAACAGACTCCAGGCGCTCCAGCCCCTTGGCGTGCAACCCCCATCCTTCCTCCCCTCGCCTTAACAACAGCGCCTGCCCCCAAGAACAAGAGCTCTTTACCTCTCATGTGGCCGCCTCTGCTCTGCCGCTGCCCCATAGATGAGCCCCCCGGCTCTGGCTCAAGCTTGGGGCTCTGCAGCTCCCCTGCTCACACCACCAAGGGTCTTTTGTGACACACCCGGCAGCATCATCGGCAGCAAGGAGGCAGTGAGCTGAGGCTGTGCTGGAGGGACTGCTGCATCATGAGGTGAGTGCAGGCAAGGCTGGGGTGGCCGCCCAGGCTCCACATGGCGCACATCAAGAGGCAGCGTGCAGCCCTGGGAGCTGGGTGGGGGCATCCCCAAATGTTGTAGGCGGATTCATTTGAACAGGCAGCGGGTGAGACTGGCAGGGGCTTCACAGGCAGAGGCGGCCATCACAGGCAAGGGCATCGCAGCAGCAGGCTGCATGGGTGGAAGATGCCCCCGCCCAGGGCTGGACACGGGCACAGGTGAACCGGGAGGCTGCCCAAAAATGGTGAAAATAATGATCGTTATTATAATTATTGCTGGTGAAGGAAGGCCCGATACTAAAAGTTTGCCCGGGGCTGCCAGGAGCCCGGGCACAGCGCTGCCCCCCGCCCCACAGCCGTCCTCGTGCCGGTCCCCGCTTATACAGGGTACAGAGCAGGGCCTGGAAATGTGCGCGTCGCCTGGTGCAGAGGGGGAAACGGGGGCCGGAAGGACCCAGGAGTCCGGCTCTCCCCACCCGCTGCAGGACCCTTCGCACCCAGCACGTGCCAACCCAGCACTGAGGGACGTCTCCTTGTGCGCATGCGCCGTCCGGGGAGCGGCGGCAGCGGTCTCGGAAGAAGACGCGGCAAGAAGCGCCGGAAGCGGCTGAGGAACCCGGAAGTGGCTAAGGAACCTGGAAGTGCCGGGAACCGGGCCTCGGAGCAGGATGGACGGTGAGTGACCCCCGCCTGCGGAGGGGGAAGTGAGGAGGTCGCCGCACCCCTGGGAGCGGCTCCCTGCCTGCAAGGAGAGGAGATCCGACCTGGGGGGCGGGGTAGGCCCTAGGCAGGACGGGGTGGTCTCCATGGTGACGTCACACGGGGTCCTCCCGCGCGGGGTCTGCCCAGGAGTGGGCCCCTGCCCTGTCCGCAAGGGGGGGCAGTGACCTGCGCCTGCGCGTGGGAGGTCCGGCCCGTGCAGCTCCAGCCCACAGGGAAGGGCCACAAACAAACTTTCAAAATGGGCTGTTGTTTAAAGGAGAAAGATGTGGGGAACCCCAGCTTTTCCCTCCCAGCTCGCACGGGGCTGCTGGGGGCTTCACACCCCCACGCGCACCCGCCCCACACACCGGGGGCAGCAGGGTGGGAGTGAGGGGTGCTGGGCGGGGACCGGCTGCCGACGTTTACAAACGGGTCCTGGTGCTCCATGGGACAGTCTCCCCAGCGCACAGCTCCTGAGTTGAAGGGGGTGTGAGCTTTTTATTAATAAGTGTTTCAGAGCCATCTCTGAGATGTTCCAGATGTCGTCTCATTTCTCTTTCCAGATACACTCTTCCAGCTGAAGGTGAGTGCACTATTTCCCTCCCCGCCCCCCCACTGGTTATATGTCTCTCCCAGTGCTGGGTGGCCTTGGTAACTGGAAGTGGGGGCAGGGAGAGGTAAGCAGCTGTGTTAAGCTCTCAGTACATCGGGCAGTGGTGGTGGTGGTGAGATAAAGGGTGGCTCTGTCCCCTGTGAGCAGAGATTCCTCGTGATGCTTTGATTCAGACCTTGGAGACATCCCCAGCCATGTCGCTGATGCTTGACTCTTTGTCAGCGTAAAGGTGGCAGCGTGGCTCGCAGTTAAATAAGGTGCATAATCTCTCTGCGTATTAGGGACAAATCAGTTTAAGCCCATTAGGCTGTATTGGCCTTTCACCTGGTAATTGGATTACAATGAATGGAAGCTGGTCTGTCACTCTTTTGGTTTTGGCAAACTGAGAGGAACGGGCATGTTTGGCATCAAGATTTACATCTTGTCCCCAAGTGCACAAAGAAGCTCTTTAAAGCTGTGTTGTTCTAGCAGCTCGGTGCCTGTGCAGCACCCAGGCATGACAGGGAGGGGGAGCCATTGGCCTGGATTTATTCCCTGTACCCAGCAGCAGCAATCTAGGCGCCCGCATGGTGTAAAACACCTGCGCCGGCATCTGGTGAGAGGGAGCACATGAATGGCGCTCTCAGAAAAAACAATTCAGGCCAACCAGTTCTGGCAATTCAGGCCAACCTGGACGGGCTGTCAAGGTGGGCTGATCCAAACCTGATGACACTGGACAGAGAAATGCAAGGTACTCCACCTCGGGAGAAAATACCCACATCATACTTATAGGCTCATCAGTGCTACACTTGCTAGCACCACAGCTAAAAGAGACTTCAGGGTCATGACTGATCACAGGATGAACATGAGCCACCAATGCAATGCCAGAGCTGACAAAGCAAATAAAACACTGGCTTGCATCTACTAATACATCTTAAGCAAGACCCAAGAAGTCATCCTGCCACTTTACTCGGCCTTGGTGAGGCCGCAGCTGGATTACTGCATCCAGTTCTGGGCTTCACACTTTAGAAAGGATGTGGAGAAGCTTGAGAGAGTCCAAAGGAGAGCCAAATTCATGATCAGAGGTAACAAAAACAGGCTTTATGAGGAGAGGCTGAGGCATGGGACTTCTCAGCCTGGAGAGGCAAAGGCTCAGTCAGGGAGGACTTGATGGCAGCCTGTAAGTACATAAGGGGTGTGGATCAGGATCTGGGAGAGCGTCTGTTCACCAGGGTACCCCAAGGGGAGACACAGTCCAATGGTCACAAACTGCTTGAAGGCCACTTTAGGCTGGACGTAAGGAAAGACTTCTTTACTGTCTGAGTCTCCAGAGTCTGGAACAGGCTCCCCTCAAAAGTGGTGCAAGCACCTACTCTGGATACCTTTAAGAAATACTCGGGTGCTTATTTTGCCACGGTGATCTGACCCCAGCTGACTGCCTGCCCCTTGGGCAGGGGGCTGGACCTGATGATCTCACAAGGTCCCTTCCAGCCTTAATGTCTGTGAAATCTATGAAAAAAACATACCCCGTGTCCAGCACAATTTCCATCCCAGCACCCCCTTGGACTTCAGCCAGCCCTTGCTGTGGCTGCTGAAAAAGCCAAAGCAGAAACTGAGGGCTGCTCCTAGCCCACCCTTGCTGAGAGCCACCTACCACCTCCTGCTTTGACCCATGGGCTAAAATCTCAAGTCCCTCCCCTAATGCCTCCTGTGGTGGGGTCTTGCAGCAGGAGAGACAGGCACCTGGACCACCTGCCTCACTGCATACAGTGGACAAGCTAGCACTTCACTGCAGCCAAGGGTTGTTGCTGTGCTCTCGTAGCATGCAGGTTTTTGGGGAAAGCCTGGGAGGGCTTTTGGTCTTGCGTGAGTACTTGACCCTTTTGTGCCTGAGTGCTGAAGTCTGTTTGTCTTTAGTTTACAGCAAAGCAGCTGGAGAAGCTCGCCAAGAAGGCTGAGAAGGACTCCAAGACTGAGCAAGCCAAAGTCAAAAAGGTGAGGTGAGGGCACCAACCACAGAGCTTTCTGCTGAGGATGGATGCAACCACTAGAGATCCTCCCTGAATGCTAGGTGCTGTTTCAGATTACATGTGAGATCCTCTGGCTCAGTGTGTGAGGGACAAGGAATCTCTGTGGATTAGATCCAAGCAGGCGAGTTTCCTCCCACTTTGTGTCGAAGCTCCAGCCCCAACAAGCCCCCCTGGAAACTCAGGATCTCCTAGTACCCTGATATGCTGAGTCTATGTATAGTAAAATGTTTGGTGCCACCAGCTCCACTGAACATGTTTGAAGTCTGCTCCCAGCCAACACTTTGCAGTCATCGGGAACACAAGGCAGATTCCGGGCCTGAGAGCAGCTGGGTAGAAGCGTGAAATGTGAATCAAAATGGAATTTTCCATGCCAATCTTTCCTCTCCCCCACTGCAGGCTCTTCAGCAGAAGAATGTGGAGTGTGCCCGCGTCTATGCCGAGAATGCCATCCGGAAGAAGAATGAAGGGCTGAACTGGCTTCGCATGGCCTCCCGAGTGGATGCTGTGGCCTCCAAGGTCCAGACGGCAGTGACCATGAAAGGGGTGAGAGTGCTTTCATTCTAGCTACACGGCTCCAGGGATGGGAAAGCCTCTTCCCCCTTGTAAAGACTGATGCAACAAGTCTTTTCCCTTTCTTAGTTGGAGTTCTTGGCAGGAACCTTCCCCCAGCCCCAGCTAGGGGTTTGGTGAAGGCTCAGCGTTGAAGCAGATGCTTGGCAGTCTGACACAGCTGCGGTGCCAGCCTGTGTGATAGCTTTGGGATGTGATCTGGTTTCACTGGGGGGACTCCCTCTGGCTTGTGATTTTAGCATACGCTTGAGCCTGGCTTGGCAGAAGCCAGAGGTTTGTTTCTGGAATCACTTCCCTGCCTCACACTGGTGCGTAAGAGACTGAGTGTGAGCTCAGCTGTGTAGTACCAGGCATCTTTGAACCCTGTCTCTACTGGAGGTGGTGTTGGTCGCCCTGGACACCTGCAGCAGGCTGTCTGCTCCCAAGCCACCACATAGCTGGAGTGCAGAGGCATGTGGCCTGACTGTGGGGCTTTATCTGGCTTTGCTGCTTCCTACCAAGTCCAAGGTTGCACAGAGCTGTCATCAGGGTGCATTGTACCAGCATTTGAAGTTCTGCGACAAGCAGAGAAGAGACCAAAAGGGGCAGAGCTTTCAGAAGGGAGGTCTCATGGGCACTTCTATTGCTGTGTGTTTGGCTGAAGTCCCCTGTTTGCTAGAGGCCCAGACTGTAGGATGGTGTGTGCCAAATATTGACCCATAACTGAGGCACGTGCTAAGGAGTTGCATCTGCCTGGGTGATGTGCATGTGGATGGTAGCTGTGTTCTCAGAAGCTGTCTGTGCACTTGTACACATGCAGCTCTTGTGTATAAACTGAGAGCCCCTTACATGCGCTGCAGGGCCAAAGACCTTCATGGGCAGGCCACAGGCGGCATGCCCATGACACTGAGTATCCTGGGCTAGGCCGGGCTCCTGTCGCAGCTGTGACAGCTCGTCTGGCCTCTTACATGTGCATTTTTCCACCTCCTGTTACAGGTGACTAAAAACATGGCTCAGGTGACTAAGGCCTTAGACAAGGCTCTGAGCTCCATGGACTTGCAGAAGGTGTCGGCCGTGATGGATAAGTTTGAGCAGCAGGTGCAGAATTTGGATGTGCACACTTCGGTGAGTCCTGTGCCTGCCTGAGGGATCCAGGGGTAAATCTTTCTGGGCTGCTGTGCCCTTGGGGGCCAGGGTGTGAGCAGGAGTGAGCTTGTTCCCCCATGCCTCTGGGCTCAGGTGGAGGCCTCCTGTTGGCTTTTCCTGCCTGGGCTATCTGCCATCCATGGATGAATTGCGGAATTGTATCCAGAGCTCTGGTCCTTGTAGTTTGGGTAGCACACTGAGGCCACAGTTGAGATCAGGGCTCTGCTGTGTTGGGCACTTTACACACCTGAAGTGAGAGGGGAGTTCTGTCCCAAAGGGTGTGACTGGACAGATGAAGACTAGACATCAGGAGACACTACTTCACGGTCAGGGTGGCTAGGATCTGCTTCCAGAGAGAAGTGGTGCTGGCTCCTACCTTGGGGGTCTTTAAGAGGAGGCTAGATGTACACCTTGGTGGTGTCGTTTGACCCCAGTACTCTTTCCTGCAATGGCAGGGGGTCGGACTAGATGATCGTCTCAGGTCCCTTCCAACCCTACCTACTATGAAGGGTGGGGGAAGAGGAGTCACTGTCCCCATGCTATGCAGGAACAGGTACACAGACAGAAGTGACATACCTGGTGTCTCGGGGAGTCTGCAGGGGGTCAAGGTTCAAATGTCATATCGCTGGGGTGCCAATGCAATACTTTTCCTCTTGATCAGGGTTACTAGAGCATTCACTCTTGCGTGCTTGTGGGCCTGGCTGTAGGGGTGTCTCTGGGGCACTGCCGGCCTGCCCATACCACAACTGGGAGGGTGTGAGCTGTCCAGTGATAGCCACGTGGTTCCCAGCAGAGCCAGCTTTAGGCTGCTTGCTCCTCACCTTGGTGTGGGCTGAGTGGTGCTGACCACAGCCACGGAGAAAGCAGCTGCAGCTAGCCAGCCAATCTGTGCCAAGACATAACAAGCCGTGTGCACTGCAGGTTATGGAGGACTCCATGAGCTCAGCCACCACGCTGACTACGCCGCAGGAGCAGGTGGACAGCCTCATTGTGCAGATTGCGGAGGAGAATGGCCTAGAAATCATGGACCAGCTCAACCAGCTCCCCGAGGGGGCCTCAGCCGTGGGGGAGAGCTCTGTCCGCACCCAGGAAGACCAGCTATCCCGGAGGTGCTGCCCTTTCCTCTCTGCCTCTCCCAGTCCCCTGGGCAGCTCAAAACATCCCCTTCCATGGTGTAGACAGCGGGGGGGTGGGACTGATGCTGTGGGCTTTTATGTTGCTGTGCTGCGCTCAGCTGTGGGAGCCCATGGGCTCTCATGTGCCCCTTCCTCTCCATCAGAGCCTGGGCACAGAGGACCCTATTCTGATCTGCAGGTGGAGAAGGCCCCCCGCCCCAGCTAGCATGTGGGGAGGGGAGGCGCACCACAGGGTGCTGCTTGCATAAAGCTGCCAGTGATTTGGCACAGAGCAGCCTCCCACTGTGGCTCAGCACTTGGCAGTTCTCTGCCAACAGCTCTGGGAACAGGCTGTCTCCTGGAACCTCCCCAGGAGAAGCTTGTAAGCTTCCTCCTCTTCCTGCTGCTCTCCCTTGTGCCACTGTGAGCTGCACCCTGCAGTTCCAGGGGCTGGATCGGACCTCCAAGGGTATCAAATCTGACCTCTTGCTGCACAGCTTGAGCTGATGCAGCCCTGCTCCTGGAGCTGGTACCCTGGGGAGTTAGAACAGCAGGGTTTGCTCTCGGGGAGCTTTTGAGGAGGGTATTCACCTTCTCAGCCCCCAGTCATCTCCTAGATGCCCTATGCTTCTTCAGTGTGTCCCCAGGTCTCCCCAGGACGCAGACAGATGGCTCCCCCTGACTCCACCTGATGTGCCCTAAGGGCTTGTTCCATGTCCCGACTTGAGCCCCCCTCCACCTCTGGCTGCAGCCTCCCACATGTCAGTGCCTTGGAAGGGTCTCCTGGATGGTGCACAAACAAGGCCTCTGAGCTTGTTGCCGCCCTGCCAGTGCAGAGCTCTGCGCTTCTCTGCCATGTGGGATCGTGCATTTCCTGCCAGGGGGTTGTCCTGTTGCCTTCCAGGCATGGGGGCATCGCCCTGGTGCTGTGAAAGGGGTCCTGCCAGGTTGGGGTGGGTGTCTGGAACTGTGTGTGGCTCCTTCCAGTACTGTCACCCACTGCTTGAGGGCAGACTTGCTTCCTACCCTGCCCTGGAGGTGTTGAGCATTGTCCCATCCTCCCCGCTGACTCTTTCTCTGTCTCTCTCCTGCTGTCCCGTCCAGGTTGGCTGCCTTGCGAAACTGAGGTCCTGTCACCTCGTGGACTGCTGTTCTTCCAACCAGGCCACCTCTCCTGCAGCCCATCTCCAGCCTCTGCCCTGGGGACAGACTCTTCTCCTTTTTGGTGTTTCTTTTATTCCAGCAATGACTGCTTCCTGCCCAGCCAGTGGGGAGATGTTCAAGGGGGGGCTGCCAACACAACCTTGCTCTGAGCCTGGAGAAGCATCTCTGCTGGCAGCGTGTTTCATGGCTGGGGGCCAGGGCCCTTGGTGAGCACAATGGCCCTGGGCCCCATTTCTACACTACACGGTGATCTTGCTGGAAGCTCAAGTGCTTTTCTGCTGGGATGCTGGTGCCTGAGTCTCTCCTGATGTCTGTCTCTCTCTAGTGATTGTCATGCATCCCTCTGTCACAGATTGGTCTCCTGTGGGTAGTCCCTGGGCTGCTTTGGGCAGCGGCACAGTGGGCAGCTTTGTGCCCCTTTCTTTGTGGCTTTGTGTCGTCATGAGTCGGGAAGAAGAGACTGGCCTGGGTTTGCCTGGGTGCTTGCTGTGTTTCGCGGGAGGGCCGAGTGGAGCAAGCCCCGTAGGCCTGTGCCTTGGTGTGTTGCCATAACAGCATGTTCCCATGCACTTGGCTCCCCTGTGCTGCTGTGCCTGCTGCACTCCTGCCACCGTGCCCCCAGGGGCCTCGCCTGATGGGCAAGGGTCCTGCTGTGCCAGCTCCCAGCCCCCAGTGTTGGCATCAGGGCGCCAGCCTGCCTACCCACCTTGGATTCCCTCACCACCAAGTGACCTTTGCGAAGCTGACTCCTCCCTCACCACCATACGTTCACCTGTTGCGCACTGCCCTGGGGGAGGTGGCTCCCTGTGAGACAGCTGGACCATCAAGGGGGAAGGCCTCACCTGCTCCTGGCGCTGTCTGCTGTGAGCCCCAGGAACAGGCTGCCCAGCAAGCCAAGCCCTTCTGTGAGTGACGTCCATGCCTGTCCTGCCCTGAGCATGTTGCTTAGCTCCTCAATACCTCCGTTGCCTTTACCTCATGGGCCTCTGGCTCCCCCTGCTCGCATCTGGCTGGCAGGGTTCCCCACACTACCGCCCATGGTGCAGAGCCAGCGAGCTTGTGACCATGGAGCTCTGTAAGAGGAGAAAGCTGTACCCATGCCAGAGGGAGCTCCCCACGGCCCAGCCCGGGAAGATCCAGCAGAGCTATGTGTTGCCCTTTCACAGTCTGCTCCATGTCTGTGCTGAGGCAGCACACACCCAGCCCCTTTGCACCGCAGCAGCTAGATGAGGGGTGGCTGATGGGGAGAGGCAGGTCCGGAGAGCTGCTCCATCATGTGGGGATGGGTCCATGTGCATTTGCTGTCCCCAGCCGTGCTTGGAAGCATGTCTGGTTGCTCCTGGCAGGCCGTCTAGGAGGGTTGGGGTACTGGTGTTTCATGTTGTCTGCTCTCCGCGTGAGAAACCCCAGTCGGGCTGAGGCAGCATCCATACACCCTCTGCCTCGGGGGCTCAGCTCTGGCCTTGCCTGGTCCCTCCCTCTGCTGCAGGCCAGAGCTGCTTTGTACAGCCCCTGTGTACAAAGACCTCTGAAGTCTCTTGGGAATTTTTCCCGCTGCAGTCCTTGGGCGCAGGCGTGGGCATGGCCAGAGGGAAGATCTTCCTTCCTAGGGATGCTATGTTCCATCTCCAGAAAAAGGCCGAGACACTAGTTGAGTCGGGGCCGGGGCTTGAATTCCATCTGAGTAGCTGAGGCAGTCACATGTTGGGTGTCCAGGCCTCTGCTGTCTGGAGGCACAGAGCGGGCTGGCTTCTGTCCTGCACTGGCACCGGTAGCTCCCCACCTGGTGCTGTGCAATGAGGATGGGAGGGGGCCCTGGACCCCCACACAGGGGCCCTTTGCTCCTGGGGTGGCACCACGCTCGCTGTTTTTAAAAGCCTGTTTTGTTCACCTTTGTTTTGAAACCCTGTGATTCCCTGTGCTTTCAATAAAACCCCTGTCCTTGAAGGTCGCCTCTGAGGGCCTGGCTGCCTGGTCATTTGTGGCTGGGTGGAGTGGTGCTCACATGGGCTGTTCAGGTCTGGGGGCAAAGGGGGACCTGTGCGAGCCCTGAGCTCCTGGCATTCAGGCTACCTCTCCACAAAGCAAAAGCTGCTTTTCCAGGGGACTTGTGGGGGCGGCTCTGGGTGTACCGGACCACTGGGTGACAGCTCATCACTGTTGCTCCATGGTGCTGGGTTCCCAGGGTGTGGATGCCCCTGAGGAATTGGCTTGGTGGATTTAACTCTGGTTTGGGGATCCTTTGCTTTTAAGAACAGCCCCTTTTCCCTGCCCAGAACAGCCAGGTCCAGGTAGGGACCACCCTGCTGCTTGGGTGTCTTCTCCTGGCAGGCATGGCTATAACTGGCTGCGTCGCCAGAGGGAGCCCCGGGCCAGGGAACTGCTCCCCGCTGCAGCCTTCTGCCTGGGCCGTGACTGCCAGGGCTGAGCTGCTCCCCATGCACAGGCCTGAGCACCCGCAGAGCGCAGCCCTCTGTCCAAATGCCTTTCAGGACAGGTTTCTCAACCGTCTTGCCCGCAGCTACTTGTGGGGAGCATTGCCAAGCCCGTTGCTTGCAGGGAGCGTTCCCCCGTCCTGCTGTGGCCCCAGTCAGGTGGAGGGAAGCAGCTGGCAGGGTCGGGTTTCTAAAGCACTTGGGTGCATGGAGGTGGCCCCTCATCTCTGCTGGCTGCACCAGCCCCAGTTGTGGCTCAAGGCAAGTCCCTGGTTGTGGCCCCACTTATGTTCAGCTCCAGGCTCCCCAGCTGCTCAGACCCTGGGGGGAAAGTCCTCACATCCTTATTCCAGGGGGTCATGCTCCTGCCCTGGTGTCTCCCAGGTGGGTAGAGCTGGCGGCACCCTCCCACAGCTGCCCGGGGCTGGGCCCAGCGCACTGGTGCTGCGCGAGGCAGGAGCAAGCCTGCGGAGCTCTTCCCGGAGCACGTGCGGCACTGCTGAGCCACGTGTCGCTGATGGGAGATGGAGCAGGGGGAGACTAGGACGTGGCACGTGCCTTGGCACCGGGCTGCAGGTTTCCAAGCCCTGCCCGGTGCCCTCGGGCAGTGTGAGCAGAGCCGGGGGAGGCTGGCGGGCCTGGGCCAGGGCGCAGGCCGGCTCTTTCCCCGTGCGCTTGGCAGGCAGGCGGGGATGGGTGAGGGGGCTCTGTGCTTCAGCCAACTTGCAAAGGCAACAGGAAGATGAATCTCACACCGGCCTGCGTTCCAGCTGCCGCTGCCGCCCCCGCCGCAGAGACAGGCTGTTCTTTAAATGTTAAAGGAAATTGCTAAGGAGATGATTGATTAGCCAATTAATGAGATAATGATTAATGGCTGTGCAGTGCCTCCGGGGTGTAAACAACACCGCTTGGAATTGCTGAACGCTCCTCTCTGCCCCCGGCTCCGGCTCTCGAGGCAGCATCTGTCCCTGCTGCCAGGGTCCCGTGCGTGTTCTGGCAGAGGTGAGGCCCGGTGCTCGGCGCTGTACGGACGCAGTACCCCAAAGCATTGGATGATCAGCCCTGGTTTCTCTCCAAAGCAGCCACAGGACTTGCTCCACCTCCTTCCACAGCTGTTGCATCACAGCCGCTGTGGAGGTGGGCCTGCTTCCCATCTGTCTGCTCTTACCCCAGGCTAAGCGAGTGCGAGGCCGGGGCATCCGTCCCATGGTTCAACGGCCATTGGCCGCAGGGTGCACAGGCAGGTCCCGCAGAGCAGCTGGCATGCGGCAGGCCCTGGCGTGACTGTGCCGGGCCCTTCGTCTCGGAAAGACTTCACTCAGAGGCTCCCGGGAGAGGGCTTTGGCATGGCAGCCAGGGCCCAGTCCTGCCCAGGCTGGGCTCCCAGCAAGGCTGGGGTGCTGGTTTAGGTTAGTGCAGCCCAGTTCGGTTGGGGTCAGTCCCCCCCAAATGAACAGGCAGTCTGCAGGGGGGCACAGGGGTTTATTGGCAGCAACGCCGTGCTCTGGATGGGTGGGCAGGCAGCAGCCGGGCTGTTGGCTGAGCACCCGGGGCTGTGGGAGGAAGGAGCGGCTGCGAGCAGAGGCCATGGCACAGCCTGTTACCGTGGGTCATGGCAATGGAAATGCCCCCGCCCTGCTCCTCTGCTGGGCCCGGCCCGGGGGGGCAGCCGGCAGCCAGCCACGTCCCCTGCAGGTGGTGGCGGCCCAGGGGCCGCGGCCTGGCTGCGGTGGGGCGGAGGGCGCTGGACCCTGGATCCTACTGGAGCAGGGCGCGGAGGAGCGGGACAGCGAGGGTGGCAGGCAGGAGTCCGGGCACGCTGGCGCTGCCGGGGTAGCCGTAGCGGGTCCTGCACTCCCCGCCCAGCTCCTCGAACGTGATGGGTATTTCGGCAGGCAGCATCTCCTTCGACAGCCTGGTCCCCGTCTGCGAGAGAAGGGGGGAGTCGGGCTCAGTGCGCAGTGGATGCCTGGGGGGTTGGGACCCCGGGAGCTGCAGGGGCTGGGGTGGCTCCGCCGCCTCTTGCACTCACGTCCTCCACCTCCTTGAAGACCCGCAGCAGGTTCTCGGCCAGGGCGGCTCGCACCTCCGTCTCGTTCCAGTTCCGCCGCAGCAGCTCGGCCACCAGCTCCGGGTATTTGGACACGTCCTCCAGGCCCTGCGGCACCCTGCCAGGCCACGAGCGCGGTGTGGAGCCCCACGGGGAGTTCCCCTTGTGTCCCTGTGAGCCCACGCCAGAGCCGTGGCCACCTCTCCTGGCCTCCCACGTGCCCGCCCTTACCTGGGGACCCCGTCGTAGTCCCCGCCGAAGCCGACGGCCTGGTAACCTGAAATCTTCTTCACGTAATCCAGGTGATCTGCAGCAGGGAGCGCGGGGCTGAGCGGGGCGCCCACCAGCCTGGGGAGGGGGGAGCCCCATGGCCGCTGCCCCACTGACCTGCGACCTGGGAGAGGTTGGCGTTCTGGTTGCAGGACACGTAGTCATTGTAGAAGTTCACCATCACCAGACCACGCTTCTGGCCCTGCCGGGGAGGTGTAGCACCAGGTTGTGGAGCCCCACGGCCCCTGGGGACCAGCATCCCAAGGTGGCCCCATGTCCCCTTAGGGCCACCCATTGTGGGGGGCATCCACCACCCCCCGCTGCACAGAAGCCCCTTTTGCTCTGGTCCCGGCAGGTGCTGGGATCCTCGCCTGGGAGGCTGGAGAGTCCCAGGGTTTGACTCCCAGGGTCGCAGTTGGCTGCCAGCTGCGGGGACCTGCATTTCCCCTGGCATGGTGCTGCTGTCCTGCACTGCTGCAGCGGGGCCAGGCCCTCCCCTTGGCTTGTGCGGAGGAGACGAGGCAGCCGGTCTCCAAGGGCCTTGGGGCATGCGGGAGCCAGGGCTGCACCCACGGCACCTCACAGGGGCTGCTTCCCCTCCTCCCCAGGCCTCACGGCGCTGCCCAGCTCACCACCACGCGGAGAACATCGTCGGGCACGTTGCGCCGGTGCGGACAGAGCGCGTAGGCCGACGAGTGGCTGAAGATGACCGGAGCCTGGGAGATCTCCAGGACATCTGTCATGGTCTTCACTGACACGTGGGCCAGGTCCACTATCATGCCCAGCCGGTTCATCTCCAGGACCACGCGCTGCAGGAGAGGCCGCTTGCAGGCAGGTGCCAGCCCCCCAGGCACCCCCCATCCGCCCCTTCCATCACGGACTACACGGGGCAGGGGAGCCCCGGTGTCCTAGCTGGGGCCGGCTCCCTGCTCTCCAGGACCTGCCTCGCTCACCTTCCCGAACACCGACAGCCCGTTGTGCACCGCCTGCTCCTGCTCCGTGTCCACCAGCCAGTTGTCCACCCTGCAGCCACAGCCAGTGCCCGCGTCAGCCCAGGAAAGGGCAGGCCGCCTGCTAGCTGCCCCCCTCGACCCTGCTGGCCAGCCCGTCGCGGTGGGGCCAGCGACGCCTTACCAGGGCGTGTTGCAGCTGTGGGTCAGCGTCATGTAGCGCACGCCCAGGCGGTAGAACATGCGCAGGGCGCCCAGGCTGCTGTCTATGGAGTGCCCACCCTCGATGCCGATGAGGCTGGCCACCCGCCCTGCCTGCCAGGCCTGCCGAACGTCTGCAAAGCAAGCACGGCGTGGCCTGCTGCAGGGCTCCCCGGTCCGCGCCCAGCCCCAGCAATGCGGGGCTAGCCAGACCCCCGGGTCCCAGCCGCTGCCCAAAATTTGCAGAGGGGGCACCCAGGAGGGAGGCGCTACCCACAGGCAGGACCTCTAGGGCACGGGGCATTTCCAGCTGCCCAGCTGCGTGTCCCGCTCACCCGCGCTGCTGCTGACGCAGGTGAAGTCCTGGGGGTACAGGAGGCACATGCGGTGGATGACGTCGATCTGCTCCAGCGTGCGCCTCACTGCGTCCTTGTTCTGCGTGTCGCAGGGCACGTAGGCTGCCCAGAACTGGGGGGAGAGCGGCGTCAGCAGGCCTGGACCCCCTGCGCCCTTCTGCACCCACCCCGTGTGCCCAGGGGCAGGGCAGAGCAGTGGAGGTCGGGTGAGTTGCCCGGAGACATCATGGCAGGCAGTGGCAGAGGCAGGACCTGGGGCTGGGAGAAGAGTCCCACCACCCTGTGGGGGTTGCTGCCTTGCTGGGGGCAGTCGCTGGCTCGCAGGGGCCCCGTGACTGGGAGGAAGAAGTGAAAGGGAAACCGGGGACCTGGGTGCAGGGCCAGCCCCACAGCGTGGGAGCGTCGGGGCCCCCTCCCGCCTGTCTTCAGCCCATGCCTGGGCGGCAGGTGCCTACCTGCCCCCCAACATGCCCGCTGCGCAGCTTGGGGATGCTGGTGTGGGTGCCCTCGAGCAGCGTGAGGTTGGCCTCCGCCATGGCCAGCTGGTTGTTGAACTTCCGCAGCAGCTGCCAGGGCAGGTCGTTGTGCCTAGGCAGAAGCAGAGGGGCTGGGAACAGTAGTCCAGCGACCCATCCCTGCCCCCTCCCCAGGGGAAGCCCTGCCTGACTCAGCTGTGCGGGGTGCGGCCCCCACTGTGCAGCTGGGGCCAGGACCCTCCATGGGGAAGCTTGCGGCCTCCTGCCAGGATTGAGTTTGCAGCACCTCCCAGTTCTTTCCTGCAGCTGCAGCTATCTCGTCCTGCACCCGGTGCAAGCAAACCCCACCCTCAGTGCCTGGGCCAGGGCCAGGGCAGCTGGCACGCCTGCCAGTGGCTTGGGGCTGGGAGCCGGGCACTTGTGCCAGCTCAGGTGGGGAGGGTGACGAGATTGGAGTCTCCGCGCCCTTCCCTGCCTGCAACTCTCCACCATCCAAGAACAAGGGGTCACAGCACGAGTGGTCAGTTAGAAGGACCGCCAGGAAGGTCCTGGTCACCCAGCGGGTCATTCGTGCCTGGGACTCGTGGCTCCTAGGTGTGGGGGGAGCTTGGCTGGATTTGGGCAGGGGGGAGTTGCAGAAACAACTTCCGCCATCTCAAAGGTTGGAGGCTGCAGTTCAGAGAGGAACGGGGGCCAACCCCGTCAGGCACAGGCCTCTCCTTCCCAGCCGCCATCGGATGCAGGAGACGACGTGGACCTCGGGGCTGAGCCCGTACGGGGCCGCTCGCCTTGCTGGCTGGACCCAGGGCTCACAAGATGCCTGCTCGAGGCCCTTCCCCGGGGGCCCTCCTGCCCTGCAGAGACCCACACCTCTGCAGCCCCCCGCACACCCGCACGCCCTCCAGACCGGGGCAGCAATGACACCCTTCGGTGCGGATCAGCCCTCGGTGCTGGCCCCGCGCTGGGACCTGCCAGGGAGTTTCTTCCTGGGTGTTTCTCTTCCCCGGGAGAAGGCTCCGGGCAGTCGGCGGGATCCCCGCAGGGAAGCCCTGAATGATGCTTTGGAGACTCCAAGTCACCAGGGCCCGACTCACTGTCTGCTCCGCGCTGCCCAGCCTGGGGTGCCCACGCCTGGCCCGCACCCCCTGCCAGCCTGCCAGGCCACTGGTCCTGGGGACCACCGCCAGGCATTGCTCCCAGGGCAGGCGTCCGGCCAGGGGCTGCTCGGGGGCGCAGAGCAGCTTTGGTGGCACGGTGCAGGGGACCAGGAGAAGGGTGGGGGGTGCAGGCGGTCCAAGCGGATGGAGCTGTGCCCAGGCCCGCCATCCCCCTGTGGGAATACCAACACATGGCCCGGGGCGCACGCATGGCCAGCGAGGGTGGGGGTTGCACTGTGTAGTCACCATCGGGAAGTGTCTCACTGGGGGGGGGCCATCACATATTCGCACTTCCCCCTTCCCTGCGTCACCCGCCTGTGACGTCCCCTCGCCCCTTCCCTGTGTCAGCAGAGGGCTATCGCTTCCCCTCCGCCCCCACCACCACTGACACTGCTGTCTGCGGCTGCTTTGTGCCCCCCACGTAAGCCAGCAGCAAGGGGGGCTCTGCTTGCAAGGCCTCGGCTTTGGTGGCCCGGGGTGGGCTCAGGCTGACCCCTCTCCTTGCTTGTGCAGGGGCCCGGGGAGGGGCACGGGACCTGGGCAGAGGCAGGGTGGCACAAACCTCCCAGTCGCTGCGGTTGCAGGAAGGGGAGGCTGCGTCACGGTCCCCAGGGACCGTGGGAGAGTCCGGGCAAGCCCCAGGCAGGGCGGTAGGTCCCCATGGACCAACTGGGCCAAGGGTGTTCCCTGCAAGGGGGGGCCCCAGCCCCGCTGCCGGGAACGGCTCAGCCAGGGGGTTTCTGGGGTCCGCACAGAGCGGGGTGCTCTGGGCAGCGCCTTGACCCCGTGGCGTCCGGCCAGCGTCCCTGCCTGTAGCGGGCATCCCCGCACGCCTGTGCCTAGCAGCCCTCCTCTTGCGACAACCTCAGCACTTCCCAGGCCCCGGGCGTCGGGCTCCCCAGCCGAGCAGGGTGCGGCACAGGGGCTTCCCGGGGCATGCCATGGTCAGGGGCTTTCTCTGCCGGGAGGTTTTGTAGGAACTGAGAGCTCCTGGGGTGGTGGGAACTTTCCCAGCCCGCGGGCTCCAGGGCTTCCCTAGGCCAGGTCCTTCACGGGGGAAGCCAACCTCTGGAGAGGGGAGAGGGGCTGGCACGGGCTCCTCGCCCAGCCCACGCGGCCCCGGCACTGGGGACAGGCGACTGCGTGGCACCGTCCCCGTGGCTCACCCGTCAATCACCAGCGTGTCTTTCATGATGCTCTTAGCTCTGTCCAGGAATGGCTGCGCCGACCCGAGCACGAGGCAGGACAGGAGCAGGCAGCCCCGCAACATCGTGCCTGGCACCCCTGAGACGTCTCTGCCTGTCCTAGTGAAGCGCCGAGGACTGGGCCGTGCCCCGATGTGCCGGGCAAGGGTCTCCCCGGGTGATGCAGGCGTGTGTCTTGTCAGGGTAAATCAGTAACCTGCCGGGGGCTATAAAGCAACTGTTCATGCCTCAGCCAGGCTCGGTGCTGCCCCGGGGAGCGGGCACTGCCCAGTCCAGGTGAGACACAGCTTGTCCTGCCCACCTCTCTGGGGGGGGAGCTCCCCACCTCCCGAGGTCTGGCCCAGGGCCCCCGCGCCCCATGCAGGAGCTGTGGGTGGCATGGCAGAGATTTGGGCGGCAGCCACTTGCTCTGCTGCCCACCACCTTCGCTGGCACCCACGCTGCTCTGCCCAGCTTTGGCGGGGGGCGCTGGCCCCTCGCCCTTCGGTGACATGCATGGCTCCTGGCACCACCGTGCCGTGCCGTGCCATGCCCATGCGGCTAATGACTTCCAAGCATTGCTATCAGGTGGCAGTGACCTTGGGATGTGGAGAATTACTCTTATTGCGGCCATAAATTGTCAACAGCGATTGTGGCCCGTGACAACCAGGCACCCCAGGTGCTCCTATGGTGCTCGGAAACTCCTGCTCATTTTTCAACCCCATCTCTGGGACAGGTAGACTGATTCTGAATGGTCCGTACCAGGAAATGTCTTCCCCTCCCCTTTATTTTGTCTTCCAAAAACAAGGTGTGTGTTATTAGAGGGCATGCGGTAGGCCAGTAACTATGGTATTTTGGAAGTCGGTGTCCAGTGAAATGTTGGAGGTACAGGCCCAGGCAGGTGTTGGAGGACGTTGGGAGGCGTCCAGCACGCCGTCTAGGCTCATGCTGCTCTGGAAACCAGGTTGGTGGCCCCGGGAGGGAAACAGCGCAATCCCAGCAATCGGCTAGCCCCTTAGCGTGCTGGTCTTGGACCTTCCTGAGGTCTTTGTAGCAAAGGGAATGGACGGTTTGGAAAGCGATGATGCTCCCCCAAGCAGGGGTCGGACTAGAGATGACCCCTGCAGCTCACTTATCACTCACGCCTGCCATGTGCACTTCAATGCGCATTAAGGTGTCACAGAAAAACCAGGCTGCCTGACTCCAGAAATGTTTGCGACAGCTGTGCGCAGCTGTTCCAGTGACAGAAGGCTGGCCCCGTCCCATCTGGGATCTGCAGAGGAGACAAACAGGAGACACCTGCTTTGGAAATTTGGAGCAAGTTCTCAGAATCGGCCAACAAACCATTTTCTGAGAAACTTCCCTGATGCTGCAGGCGAAGGGGAAGCTCCAGGCCAGTGGTCTTCGCTCTCATCAGACTCCCTGCTTATTCGAGTCCAGGCTCCCCTTGGCCAAGGCCAGCTCTGAGCTTTCACTTGTCTTTTGACGACGAAGGAATACTAGAGCAACGGCTTTACTACTTGGAGCTCCCAGCTGAGATCTCTGGGTTAATCCTGTGCATTGTGTTTGCACACCTACCGGTGTACAAACATGATGCACAGTGCAAGGTGTTCAAGGCGTTGTGTGGCATCCCACGGTTTCCTGGAAAGGCACCTTGGCTGAGTCTCCGCCCCGTGCACCCGTGCAGAACGGCCCCTGACCGAGTGTGAAAGCAGCCGGGGAGAGCGGGGAAAGTACTGAGCAGGTTCCAGGCAGAGGTGGAGAATCACGAACCCGCCGCGGTGCTGGCGGAGAAGGGAAAGACCGGGGGGCTCTCCTCCAGGGCCTGGCCCCTGCCCCTGGCCCTGCCCAGGCAGCGCTGTGACTGCAGGACCCGTCTCTGCTGCCGGGCATGCCTTCAAGCCACAGATCAGCTGCTTGATAAACTGGCCTTGTTAATAAATAACATTGATAAATGGGATTGGCAAGTCGGGCAATAGCTTGCATACTTTTCTAAACCAATTAAAGGTTACAACAATGTTACAAAAAAAAAAACAAAAAACCAACCAAACCCTACATTTTTTTTGTAGTTGTCTTAACAGAAATATGATTTTTTTTCCATTTTTGGATGCATTTCTTAATGGAAAAGTTGTGCTTTTCCTAGGTAGTGGAGGACCTACTGCCAATATTTTTTGTGTGCAAATACTGGCGGTATTTGGCAGTCAAATGACTGGCCTCAGGTGAGGTATTTGACTAGTCAAAGAAAGTTCAGAGAGAGAGAGAAGGCCCGGGCCCGGCGGGGATCTGGCTGTGGTTCTGGCCGGCACGTGGCCTCTTTGGGGGTTGGGGGCAGCTATGGGGCCAGGCCCCAAATTGGGCGCTGAGACAGATGGATGGGGCAGGCCGGGCAAGGTGCTGGGGATGGGTCCCCTCCAATTCCCAGCAGGGTCTGAAACCCCCTGGGGGCCCCTGCACCCCTATCTCATCCCCACAGACCTTTTCTTTGCCCCAGGGACGGAGGCCAGTACTGGACCCCCACGGCCCTCCTGTTTGGGGGGGTTGGGAGGGACAGAGGGTGGGCAAAGCCCCCCTTTTAACTCCCCATCAGCCTCCCCAGACTCACCCACGTCCGGGGCTGCGCGGGGGACACGGGTCATGACCCCAAGATACCCCCTGCCCGTGCCTGCCCCCAGTCCCCGCCCAGCCTCCTGGACAGCTCTGCATGCAGCTCCGGCCCCTCCTTCCCCATCTCCTGCCAAGCACTGGCGGGGACTTGGGGCAGGGAAGTTCCTCTTTCTGCCGCTATTTAAACTCCCAGGCTGGGGCCAGCCAAGTCACAGGATATGGACAGGATGGAAGTGACAGAGAACTTCGCTGGCATCACCCTGCCTGGGCACCTGCACACGCAGGAGTCCTTGCGCGCGGCCGCCACCTTCCAGTTCCGGGACACCGACGTGGTCATCATCACCTACCCCAAGTCTGGTGAGAGTTAGGGCTGGGGGCCCGGGTGGTGCGTCAGGGGGCAGGACCCCCCCAGGGCTTTGCAGGCTCTGGTTTTGGGGTGTCCGCACGGTGCAAAGGGGCCTGGACTGCTGAGCTCCCAGGCAGGAGCGAGCCCCCGGCTCCCGGGAGCGCTGCCCCAGCCGGCCCCCGGCCCCTCTGCAGGCTGCCCAGAGAGTGAGCGGCCAGGGGCTGGGGTAGGAGAGGGGCCCCAGCTCCTGGCTGTACCGCTGCTGGCTGCTTGGCTGCTGGTTGCCCTCTCCTCCTTGCTCCCTACCCCAGACACGGCCCCACAGCGGCAGCCAAAGGAAATATGCAGGCAGTGCAGGGAGGAGGGGCATGGGGGGCTGCTCTCCCCTTCCTAATACCTCCCGCCTTGCTTTGGCTTTCCTCTCCTGGGCCCCGGGCAGGGGGTGTGGTGGGGAGCCAAAGTGCCCCTGCAGCCAACTGCTCCCTGCCTCCTGCCACCCAGGAAGGGGTGTGGGGGCAGTCTCTGCCCAGCCATGGCTCCAGTGCCAGCTCAGGCCCCTCCTGGCACATCCCGGCGGGCAGCCAAGCTGGGGGGGCTCCTTGGGGGCCTGGAGGAGCCCGGAGGAGTGGGAGCCGGAGAGGCAGGGCTGGGGGCTGGGGGGGACCCGCCGAGTCCACCCAGGGCTGCAGACGTGGCTTGGCCAGACCCCGCAGCAGCTGGGAGCTGTCCTGCTGTGCTGCCCGCTGGGAGCCCAGCCAGCCAGCTCCTCCCTGGGCAGCTGCACCAGCCCAGCCTGGCCCCCCAGCCCCTGCCTGGCCCCTTGCACCCCCCAGCCTTCCTTGGCTCCTCTGTCGCTCCCACCCAGCCCTGCAAGGAGGCTGATAAGGGTGGGGGTGACCGAGCCGCTCCCCCTGCCCCACAGGCACCACGTGGATGCAGGAGATCCTGACGCTGATGTACAGCAAAGGGGATGGCCAGCTGGCCAAGACCGTCCCCAACTGGGCCCGGGCGCCCTGGCTGGAGCACATCTACTTCAAGGACATGCTGCAGGCGGGCAGGGAGCCCCGGATCATCACCACCCACCTCCCCTTCCACGTCCTGGCCCCCGCCCTCAAGAAAGCCAAGGCCAAGGTGAGTGCCGGACCCCACGTCCTGCGCGGGGCTGCTGCCTGCTCCGTGGGGTGCGGATGCCTCCAGGCCCCCGGTGCCCTGGCACAGGACCCTGGAGCACCGGGCTGGCAGGGAGCGCCGACCAGCCCCTGCCGGAGAAGGGAGCAGCCCTGTGCAAACCAGGCCAGCATCTAAACTCTTAGTAAAACGGCCGTCAGCCCTGCAACAGCACAAGGCATTGCGCCCGACCCTGCCGCAGCTGTCGAAGGTCATTAACGCGCGTTGCAGAGGTGCCTGGCAGAGGCCGTGCCTCTGCTACAGCACAACCCCTGGTCTGGACCAGTGTGACCAAGGGGAAAAATCCCTTCCTGACCCCCAAAAGTGGCATCAGTCTGACCCCAAGTGGCACTGGCACAGCCCCATCCACATCCCCAGCTCTAGCTGTGCCCGCGCCCAGGCTACGTGTCCTCCAGCAGCCCCAAGGGACTGGGCTGCTCCACTGAGCAGGGGCTTTCCTGCCCCCAGCACCATCACTGTGGGGTTTTCCTTGCACTCCCTTGCAACAGGGAGCAGACACCGCATGGGTGTCCCAAGGGCCTGGTGGGAAGGGGGTCACCCGTGCCCCTGGAGGGCCGGGGCTGGGAGTGGGGGCAGGTTGGCATTGCTGTGCCAGCCCGCCTGATGCCACGTCTGCCCTACCACAGGTGATCTACGTGGCCAGGAACCCCAAGGACATTGTGGTCTCCTTCTACCACTTCCACAAGATGGCCAAGTTCCTGCCTGAGCCCAGCTCCTTTGAGGACTTCCTCATGCAGTTCCTGGATGGCACAGGTGAGCGGGCACCTTCCCAGTCCTGCACAGACCTCCACAGGCAGGCATCACAGCCCGGGCTCCTGGCTCTGGCTGCCCAGCTCTGCCCACACCACACACGGGACTCAGGGGCAGCAGTGACGCCGAGAGCTGGGTAGCTCCAGGCACCCCCAGGCTGGCAGGGGGCACAGGGCGCTACAAACCCAGCGCTATCCCCAGCTCTTGGGCATGTGGGGGCCGGCGAGTCTGACCCCCACCTCCCTGCAGTGCAATATGGCTCCTGGTTCGACCACGTGGAGGGCTGGCTCAGCCAGCGCAGGGAGCTGGACCTCTTCTACATCACCTACGAGGACCTGCACCAGGTGAGTTCTCCTCATGGACTTGGAAGGGACGCCCCTGCCCAGTGCAGCCTCCTGCCAGGGGCATCGGTGGAGGAGCCCTGGCTTGGGCACTGTGGCTGGAGGCAGCTGCACTCGGGGCAGCGGAGGGTCTTCCCTGACCATGCCCTGCTCTGCCAGGACCTGGGGCACGCCATCGAGGAGCTGGCAGCCTTCCTGGGCTGCGCCCTGCGGCCGGAGGAGGTCAGCGCCATCCAGCAGCACAGCAGCTTCTCGGCCATGCAGGAGAACGCCATGGTGAACTACACGCTCGTGTCCTGCGACATCCTGGACCACAGCAAGGGGCAGTTCATGCGCAAAGGTAGGACCGATGGCAGCAGGGGCGGGGGACTCCCTTCATCCCAGATCACCCCCCGGTGATTGCTGCGCCCCAGGTCTGCCCCGCTATGCCATCCGGGGCCCATCTTGGGGGTCTTGCTGGCAGGACAGCCCGTCTTCAGCCCCCATTCCCTCCGGCCAGGCCACGTGTACCCAGGAAGCGAGCCTGGCTTCCCCCATCCCATGTGGCCAGCCACCCTCACCCCTGCCTCTTCCCTCCCTCGCAGGGATCGTGGGCGACTGGAGGGACCACTTCACACCCCTGCAGAATGCCCTCTTCAACAGGGTCTACCAAGAGAAGATGCGGCACTCCAGCCTGCGCCTCCACTGGCCGCTGGTCTGAGCAGGGCTGGGGGGCAAGGGGGAGCTGGCCACGGGCCCTGCCCATGCTGTTACTCTAGGACTGACACTTGGCATCTCTCAGGGCACTGCCCCATGCTTGGCTGGTCCCTGCCAGCCGCAGGCAGCACTCTGGGCTGTGTCAAGCTCAGTCCTGGGCACGTGAGTGCTCCGGCCGAGGGATGGAGAGTGGATGAAGCGCGTGGGTCCCAGTGCTGGAAGCCAAGACTGCATCTCCTCCTCTCTGCCAAAGAGCATGGGCATCCCCTTCCGCCCAGACTGGGGTGGCCGGATGCAGGTGTTGCTCTCTTCCTGCCCAGCTTTTGCAACCTGCCATTACTCAAAGCCCTACTGTGGAAGGAACTGACTGAAAGGGGAAGGAAAAACCCAGGGGGAGCAGGTAGGGGGCTGCTTAGCGCAACAGCGCTGGCTTGTCATCCGAGAGTGACCGTCTGCATCGGAGCAGAGAAGCCGGAGCAGACACCCGCCCTGACAGCCCTCCTGGATCATCGATGTATAAGCTGGAGGGATCGGGACAGCAGAGCCTGGGGTGCCTCCCCTTGCAGGGGCTGGGGGAATCCTGTCTGCTGCCACCTCCCTCATCTAATTTATTTGGCTGTGTCTGGTTGTTATGCAAGGGGTGGGGGTAATTATTGCCAGCTTGGGGTTGGGGAAAGCTGCTTGTGAATGTGCTGCAGACAATAAAGCTCAATGGAACGGACACTGCAGCCGGCTCCTTAATTTGAGCTGGGCAGGGCTGTACCAGCGCCCCGGCTCCCTGGAAACAGGCCCCCCGAGCACTGGTACTGTGCACATGTTAGAGCGCGTGCCCCCTCCCCTTGTCTAGGGCCTGCGGGCACCAGGGAGGCCAGGAGCGCGGCCAGACCCTCTCCTCGGACCAACACCGCGCTGCAGCAGTAAACAAGCTTGTGCAAGCTCAAGCAGTAAGAGCCCTGGCCTTGCTCCCCCGTGGAGCTCCAGCCCCGCCTCGCCCTGTCTGTACTTTTTTCCCTCTTCCTCCAACCCGCAAGTTCTGGGCCTGAGGCCCCAGGGCCCTGTTTCCAGACCCCTGGGAGGGACACAGGTGCCACTCAGGAACCACATCCAGCCAACTGAAAGCAATTACATCTTTATTTACATTGAGTCACCGTTAAATCATGTCCCCCAGCTGTGTGCAAGGGGGAAGGGAGAGGATGGGGAGCCCTGAGCTCCAGCCAGCCCCAGATAAGAGCTAAGGCAATAAAAGCAGGTGCCTGCGAAGCAGGCTGGGTTCATTGCCCGCTGGGCAGGCTCTGCACTTGTCTTCCCCTGGCTGCAGTCACTTCCTAGAGCCGATCGACGCAGCCTCCAGGCGCCCCTGACAGGTCGCAGCAGGGGGAGAGTCACAGTCCCTGTCTCCTCTCTGGATGAGGCTGGGGGAAGTCACCTTGCAACAGAGCAGACAACCTGTGGCAGGCATTGCTGCCATCCCATAGTCCTGTGGGTCTAGTCCCATGTCCCAGGCTTCTCTCTCGGACGTGGGGAGAAAGCGTCTCTGGAGTTCCTGCTGTTAACAGCCCTGTTCACTTCTAGACGAGCAACTGGGGAGCAGCCAGTGAAGTGCGGGAAGGCAAAGGCTGCAGCAGGGGTCATTCCTCCCAGCAGGGACCCCAGGCAGACCTCAGAGGGGGCTGTGGGCAGCCAGCTGGGCACCGGTCTGGGGTGCAGGCTCCAAGGACACTGCTTCATCCCTCCCAGGCTGCTCACATGCAGCAAGCATGATTCCTGCTGAACTAAAAGCGCCTCTAAAAGACTGCGGGGACCAGCAGGTAAAACAGTGGGGGGGGGGACACCAGGATGCTGCAGGGCGGCAGAGCTCCCTCCAAAGGCCCGGAGTGGGCCTGGCTCCTCCAGTGCTCATGGCCCCAGAAGGCAGGGGGCGGTGGCAGGATCTTAGCCTGGTGCACGGAGAAGGGCAATGCCCCACTGAGCGGTAGCAACTGAGAGTGCTGCAGGAGGAAACAATGTGCCCCCCAGCCTGGGGCAGCTCCAGGTACGGGAGCCCTGTTCCTTCCATGTCAAATGCCCACATCCCCGGTGAGAGCTGCCCTCCACGTGCAGCCCCAGGCCAAGAAAGCCCCGCTGGCCGCAGCCGTCCTTGGGTACCCGAGCAGCTTATACTGCGGTCCGCGCTTCCGGGGGCAAGAGGATGCTGGCAGAAGACGCGCTGCAGGAAGGCTCCGGGGAGAAGCCCGGCTGCCCGTCGCGCCTCTCCACTGCGGCGCTGAGGGTGCAGGGCCCCGTCAGCCCTGGCTGCCTCCCGGCCCCGCGGCAGGGCCCGCAGAGCTCCCGCATGAGCCTCTGCCACTTGAGCCGGAAGCTCCGGTTGGTCCAAAAGTAGACGAAGCAGTTGAGAAAGCCGCTGCCAATAGGCAGCCACAGGGCCACGAACTCCACCCACTCGGGGACACGGTCTCCCGTGATGGCTGGGGAGAGACGGGGGGAGGTCGGCGACTCCCACACGGCCAGGAGACGAGCCCCGCCGGCCCCCACCAGCCCGGACAGGCCAGCGCACGGCTCCCGGGCTCGCCGCACTGCCCCAGCGCCCCCCCGGCACCGAGCAGCGCGAATGGGAGCACCCCAGGGTGGATCCCAACCTGCCAAGTGCCGGCTTTCCAGTGCGGGCGGCTCCCCGTCTGCCGGGCGCCTGCCCCGGGAGCAGCACCGCACGGGGGAGCAGGTGCAGCCTGGACGCGCGCACTGGCTGGCGGGGCTCTGAACGTGCCCCCTGCCGCAGGGCACCCCCTCCTGGCCAGGGGCAGCCCGTGCCACTCGCTGCAACCAGGGCAGGTGCTCCACCACCTCCCGGGTTTCCCAGCACCACCCCACAGCCCCCTCGTACTCCCCACCCCTCCAACCCCTGCCCCGTCACCTCCCGGTATCACCATCACTTCCCGGGACCTCCCCACCCCCATCCCACCCCAGGCCA